CCTGCTGGATTTTTGCTCGGTAAGAACGGCAAAATGATTCGGCAAACTCTCAAACGGTTAAATCAACCATTTGCTTTAATCAATATTCCAGTTAATTTAACTTCTTTGGATAAATTGCATCAACCACCTCGGTTACTTTGGTGATTGTCGATAGAACTTTTCATTCATTTTTATACAGTGAAGCAAACGTTTTGATTTATACAAATTTTAAGTTCCGACGTTATTACTAAAGAATATGGGATTATTTTAAATCGAAATAATTATATACACAATTTATTACGCATTATATTTGTAAAAGATAGGAAATGTACTTTCATAAAATTTGTTTTTACAAATTAGCAATTACTTTACGAGCGGTCGAGTTTCTCTCTCTAACCATTCGAGTGCTTGAGCATTTTCTGGCCCTTGTAATAGAGGTTTTAAAGTATTCACACATTTTGTATGATAATTATTTAAATATTGAATCTGAAAAAAATTTACAATCGATTATTATGAGCCAACGATCGATATATGAAGAACAGATCGAATCTATACCTCATTATCTGTTAATAAGGAAACATCGAGTAGATTAGTTTGTATGGGTACTAGTGTAACAGTTTCAAAAGTAAGAAAGCCCCGATTCTTGTGATTGTATGGTGTGTTTGCTTTCACTATTAATTCTACATTTTCCAATCTAATGCCAAATTTCTTGTCTTCGTAGTATCCTGGTTCTAATAATTTTATTCGTTATATCGACACTGTTAGAGTATAATGTATATAATGACGAGGGAAGTCTTTTGCTTCATACCATTTGAAAGAAACATGCCAGGTTGTAAACCTGGATCGTCAGGGTATGGTTTCCAGGAAATTCCGATTGGTCCTTCGTGAACATTTAAATACGAACCTACTCCGTGTCCCGTACCATGAAGATAATCAAGACTGTAATTATACATTTAAATATAAATAAATAATATTTTCCATTTTATAAGCAAAATAAATACATTTACCCGACACTCCATAAATTTTCCCGAGCAAGTGTATCGAGATAATTTCCTTGAATCATTAAAGGGAAGACAGTCGATGAAAGACGGCACTGTCCTTTAAATACTCTCGTGAAACACTCACGCTCGAAACTTGTTGCATTGCCAAAGTGCAATGTCCTTGTAACATCTGTAGTACCATCTTGATATTGTGCACCAGAATCGCAAAGATAAATTTCTTTATCTGTAATTGGTACATTTGTCGTTGGTGTTGGTAGATAATGGATTATTGCTCCATGTGGCCCAACTGAAGATATCGTAGGAAAACTGAGCCCAATGAAATGTTCCTGCTCCCTTTTGAATAATACATGTTATAACTAATTTTCGTTACATCCAAATTTTATAATGCTGCATGCAAATACCCTTACTGCCTAAATTTTTCAAGTTGAGTTGCTCCAGATATCTCTGTGATAGTTTCCTTCTTATTTTTAATTTGATCTTCCAACCAAGCGAAATATTTCACAAGCGCGACTGAATCGCGTACATGTGCCGCTATCATTCCTCGAATTTCAACATTATTTTTTATTACTTTCATGATGCTTACAGGGGTAATTTTAGTATGTTTCTTTGCTTCTCCACAATCGGCGTGTAAAGCATAACTAGAACTATTACTTATCCATATTTTGTCATCATTTATACACGAATTTGCGATATTTTTTAAAAAATTATGTATATCTTCATATGGATGATAAACTGCATTCACTTCTTCACTGACTAACTGTTGCTGAGCCTCCTCACTGAGTTTATTTTTGTTAATGAACAAATGGACATTGTCCAATGTAAGAATGACGTATGCAAAGAAAACAGGATTATAGGGTATATCGGATCCTCTTAAATTTAAAATATATGCTACTTCATCTAAAGCTGTGATTACAAGTGCTTTTGTTTTATTTTTGTTCATTACTTCTCTACATAATTTCACTTTTTTTCCTGCACTGCATCCAGAAAATTGCAGTGGTTGAGGTAAAATAACATTAGCTGTAGGAACAGGTTGTTCATCACCCCAAACTTTATCGATTAGATTTTCCTCAAGAGGCATCAAACAGTGACCAGCAGCTGTTAAACTGGTATGTAAAACTGCCCATTCTGTGTAACTCATTAAATTAGAATCTGCACCAACGGTAGACTGAGGAGGTAAGTTTGAAATCAACCATGCAGCTCTAGTTGGAGTATCCAATAAACCTTCCTTCATTAAAGTCCATACCTCTGATGGCTCAAATTCTGCTAAAGCTTGCATATAATATCTTCCATCTGTCCAAAGCACAGCTTTGTTTGGTGTAATAATTACAGTGCCAAAAGAACCAGTGAATCCACTTATGAAACTAATCCTCATATCATGCTTTCTTAAATATTCTGATTGATGAGCATCATCTGAGTTGACAATCAAAGCCTGAATACCTTTTCCTTTAAGACCACCTATTTGTACGGCTGCCATTAATTCTCGAATTTTTGCTAATTTAATGATACTACTTCTCTGTGCCATATTAATGCTTATATTATGACAAAGTTTTATTAATATATGAAGTACTAAAACAAAATAATCTTATTTAATTTGATATAAATATGAATCTCTTAAGCTGATTAACTTCGTACGACACAATTAGCAATAAAACTTGAATTTAATATACTCACAAATATATGTAGTGCGCACGGTAAATATCAATTTATCCTGTGTATTTCGACCTAACATATATTGTCTCTCTTATCGCAACAAGATAATCTTATCAAACATTTTATGAAAATAGCAAATAATTAAATTTCTTACGTATTGAGAATATCAATCATAAATTTAATATTATATATTAATGTTTCAAATTTAAAAATATGACGTTTCAGATGTCAATTATAAATCTATGCGAGGTTAGAAATAACGTGTTCTCTTTTAGTAATCGGTAAACGAGAGACAACTACATATATGTAAATCACTGCTGCTATAATCCGTATTCCTTAATTGTTGCTTTCAGAATAATTCTAGCTCTCATTATTCTTGCGATTTAAATCAAAACTGCATTCTGTTAAAATAATTTTGCACTTTATTATTATCGTAGCAATACCTTATTTGATATATGTTACATGTTACTATGCTACAGAGTAAAACTTTTTCACTTATTAATATACAATTTGAAGATTAAAACTCGAAATAATTTTTTTCTTCGCCTCTTATAACTTCACTAATACTTATTGGAATTTATTGTATTAATTAAAATATTAAGTTCGAAAATATATGAAAAACATACGACTGCTTGCTTATGTTAGATGAAGAAAAAGCGTTGTTGTCTTATAAAAATTGGATCATATCATTTAAGTGAAGTTTAAAACATAAAGTAAAAAATATAACATTGCAATGTAAGTATATACATGTGACATACGTATATACAAGTTATTGTTACAATTTATTATACATTTACTTAATCTTTTTCTAGCATGTTGAATTTAACAAAATATTGTAGCCCAATATTAACAAAAAACCTGAGATATCTACCAGTCAAAAATTTATATACCTCTACTCCAAAATCAATCGCTACAAATGTAACTCATACATTAAGAAGGAATTTTCTTTCGTATAAGGTATTGTTTATCAATTATAAAATTCAACACACAAGATACTAATACAATTTTAAACAATTTTATGCAATATTTTCATAGGATTTATTCGGAGTTCATTGCATGATCGCAAAAGGTTTTGCATCGAAATCAACTCAGAAGTCAGATAAAATTGTGGGCCATTGGTTATTAACCTGTAGTGGGATGGTTTTTGTAGCTGTTACTCTTGGTATAGTTTTTTATTGCTTCTTTTATTATAGTGCTTGTTATATCATAAAAACAGTTGTAGATCAAACTTATGGAAAATAATTTTAATAATAGACAAATATTTTTGCAAGTATGATATTTAATGTTACAATTAATATATATGTTTAGTATGCTTATATATAAGCTAATATACATAGATGAACTTTTATGGAATATAATATACAAATAAAGAATATATGAAAGAAATATCTATACTTACTTATCCTCTCCTATGTAATTAGGAGGTATAACAAGACTTACAGAATCTGGTTTATCTATGGTTACTTGGAAATTGCTTGGTGAAAAAATGCCTACTACTGAAAATCAATGGCATATGGAATTTGAACATTATAAGCAATTTCCTGAATATCAAATGTAAGAATTATATGATATAAAGTAATTTTATAATTTATCAAATTATAATTGTCATACAATTTTATTTGCAGCAATAATCAAAATATGACATTGGAAGAATTTAAACGTATTTGGTGGATGGAATATTTGCACAGAACGTGGGGTCGTTTAATAGGTGCTGTATTCATAGTTCCAGCAACTTACTTTTGGGTAAAAGGTATGCTAAAACCAGGCATGAAAGTAAGAGTAGCCGTTTTGGGTTCATTAATTGGCTTACAAGGACTTATGGGTTGGTATATGGTTAAATCTGGTTTGGAAGATCGTTTCGTGGAACCATCAGATGTGCCCCGTGTTTCACAATATCGGTTAGCCGCACATTTAGGAATGGCATTTATTTTATATACGGGATTTTTGTATAACGCTCTAGATCACTTAGTTCCTGCTAAAAAATTAGATCTTACTAATACGAATGTTAATATCGATAATCTAAAATCTAAGCTGAAAAGGTTCAGAATATTAGTTCACTCGACAAAAGGACTAGTCTTTTTTACTGCTTTATCCGGAGCTTTCGTAGCAGGCATGGATGCAGGTCTTATTTATAATACATTCCCGAAAATGGCGAATAAATGGATACCGGATGATATATTTACGGTATCACCTACATGGAAAAATTTTACTGAAAACCCAACTACTGTACAATTTGATCATAGAATTCTGGTATGTATTAAGAATGACAATCAAATTAAATCAATACTGTTACGAACTATAATTATTTATTACAGGGCATCACAACTTTGTCATTAATAACTTATATTGCGTTTGCATCTCGCAAATATAAACTTCCTGGTAATGCAAAAAAGGCTATATTAGCAGTGCTTGGTGCTGGCTATTTACAAGTATTATTAGGAATTTCAACGTTAGTACATCATGTACCTTTATCACTAGCCGCATCTCATCAGTCTGGCAGTCTTATTGTTTTGAGTACAATGATATGGTTGTGTCACGAATTAAAATATTTAAAATATGTATTGAAATAAATTTATACTATTCTAAAACATTTTATTATTTCATATGGCTTGGAGATTGATGGAAAAAATTGCTGCAGTGGTTTCACAACATTATGCCTTTATTTGACAATGCATTAAGTTATAATAATCAATATTCATGGAAATTAATTTACATATTTTTGTTATAAAGTAAGGTATCTTATTATAAACTTTTAAGTAGTTTCATATTACTGTGCAAATGTAGTTTTAATTTCATGTTAAAAAAAAAAGAAAAAAAAAAAAA